CTTCCATCCACTGGTTTTTTGTTTTGTTTTGTTTTTGTTTTTGTTTTTTTTTTTTTTTGACAGGCAGAGTAGACAGTGAGAGAGACAGAGAGAAAGATCTTCCTTCCGTTGGTTTACCCTCCAAATGGCCACTACGGCTGGCGCTGCACCAATCCGAAGCCAGGAGCCAGGTGCTTCCTCCTGGTCTCCCATGGGGTGCAGGGCCCAAGCACTTGGGCCATCCTCCACTGCCCTCCTGGGCCACAGCAGAGAGCTGGACTGGAAGAGGAGCAAGCGGGACAGAATCCAGTGCCCCAACCGGGACTAGAACCAGGGGTGCCAGCACTACAGGCAGAGGATTAGCCTAGTGAGTCGCGGCGCTGACCCCAGTTCGCTCCTAAAAAGCCCACAGCAGCCAGGACTGGGTCAGGCTCAAACTAGCAGTCTGATCCATCCTGGTCTCCCATGTGGGTGGCAGGGATGCTAGTACTGGAGTCATCATCTGCTGCCTCCCAGGGTGCACACTAGCAGAAAGCTGGAATTAGACGTGAAGCTGGGACTTGATTACAGGCACTCTGATACTGGATGAAGGCATCCCAAATGCTGTCTTAACTGATGAGCCAAATGCCCATCAACAGTCCAGGCCTTACTGGATATATATCTTGACACATCTCAGTCTAACTGACCAGAAAATTGAACTCCAATCCAGGGGTGGGCGCTGTGGCACAGCAGGTTAAAGCCCTGACCTGAAGCGCCGGAGTCCCATGTGGGTGTTGGCTCTAGTCCCGGCTGCTCCTCTTCCAATCCAGCTCTCTGCTATGGCCTGGGAAAGCAGTAGAAGACCTGCACCCACGTGCAAGACCCAGAGGAGACTCCTGGCTCCTGGCTTCAGATTGGCGCAGCTCTGACCATTACGGCCATCTGGAGAGTGAGCCAGCAGATGGAAGACCTCTCTCGGTCTCTCTCTGTAACTCTTTCAAATAAATAAAATGAATCTTAAAAAAAAAAAAAAAAAAAAAAAAAAAAAAAAACACACACACACACACAAAACCTCCAATCCAAAGGAAATGAAATTATTTCATTTGCAGCAACTTGGATGAAACTGAAGAATATGATGTTAAGTGAAGTCAGACACAGAAAGACAAACACTGCATGTTCTCTCAATTAATATACAGAAATTAAAAAGCTGATCTTACAGAAGTAGAGTAAAATTAATGGTTACCAGAGAAGGGTGTTGGGGAGAAGGGGAATGAAGAGAGGATAGTTAAGAGGTATAGAGGTACTGCTGTATAGGAGAAACTACTTTTAAAGTTCTACAGCACAGTAGGCTAACTACAGTTGACAACAATTAATTTATATTTCAAAATAAGATACTAGAGCAGATTCTAAATGTTCAACAAAAGAAATGATGAACGTTTGAATTGATGGATATGACAACTATCCTGATATGATCGTTATACATTCACTATACCCATAAATATGTATAACTGTATCATCTAAAAAATTTTTTAATACTTAGAAAATTAGCCTCCAAAGTGACAACGTACCAGAGGTTTAGAAAATTAGCCTCCAAAGTGACAATGTACCAGAGGTTTAATATTATTTGTTTTTACTAAATAAGTGTCTGGGGGCCAAGATGGGTTAATGCACTGCCTGAAGTGCCAGCTTCCCATGTGGGCACCAGTTTGAGTCCCAGCTGCTCTACTGACGATCCAGCTCCCTGCTAATGGCCTGGGAAAGCAGCAGATGATGGCCCAAGTCTTTGGGCACCTGCACCCACGTGGGAGACCCGGAAGAAACTCCTGGCTTCAACCGGGCCCAGCCCCGGCCATTACGGCCATCTGGGGAGTGAACCAGTGAATAGAAGATACCTCTCTCTCTCTGTGATTCTCCCTCCCTCTAAACTCTTTCAAAAATAATTCTTTAAAAATAAATGTCTGTGGCCGGCGCCGCGGCTCACTAGGCTAATCCTCCGCCTAGCGGCGCCGGCACACCGGGTTCTAGTCCCGGTCGGGGCGCCGGATTCTGTCCCGGTTGCCCCTCTTCCAGGCCAGCCCTCTGCTGTGGCCAGGGAGTGCAGTGGAGGATGGCCCAGGTGCTTGGGCCCTGCACCCCATGGGAGACCAGGAAAAGCACCTGGCTCCTGGCTCCTGCCATCGGATCAGCGCGGTGCGCCGGCCGCAGCGCGCCGACCGCGGCGGCCATTGGAGGGTGAACCAACGGCAAAGGAAGACCTTTCTCTCTGTCTCTCTCTCTCACTGTCCACTCTGCCTGTCAAAAATAAATAAATAAATAAATAAATGTCTGTAAAACAAATATTTATATTTATTTCCACTCACTTCTGAGTTCATTTTTGACATTTATTCGGTATGAAATGAGCTTACAGAAATGAAATGCTGTTTATTATATTTTTTATAAAAAATAAAGCCTTGATAGAAAAACAGCTGCATATGTGACAAGAGTCTAAGAATCAGTGAAAGTCTCTAGGCTCATCATTCATTAATTATCCACCAGCAATCCAACTTTAACTCATTCATAACTTCACGAGAAGAAAACCGGTGGAATCTGGTGGAAAGACTCTAGGATGGCCCATGATCCCTGCTGCTTAATGTTCCCTTTGAATGTGGATAAGATTTCGTGATTGGCTCCTAGCCAACAGAAAAAAGTGACGGGCATGTGTGGTTGCATTGCGGAAAGTCTGTAATGTCCATCTTGCTAGGGAAGACTCTCTAGCTGGCTCTGAAAAACTAAGCTGCCATATTAGGACACATGAAAAGGAACTGAATTCTGCCAACAACCATGTGAGCCTGGAAGACAGTGACTTCCACTTGAGCCTGAGATGAAATTTCAACCATGGCTGAAAACTTGGGCCTGCAGCCTTGCAGAAGACCCAGGTGAGCCGCCCCAGGCTCTTGACCCACAGAAACTAAGCAACATTAAATGTGTAGCTTTAAGCCAGCACATTTACAACAGTCATAAACAGCAATAGACAACACAGAATCTTTATCAAAGTTCCACTATTTTTCAAATTCAACGATGTTTGTTCAACAGAAACATAATACCAACTGTTATAATTTTATAATTTGGCCCCCAAAAATTACGCAGAACACCAAACCTCAAAGTCACACTAAGAGTGAAAACATGGGGCCGGCGATGTGGTGCAGCAGGTTAAAGCCCTAAAGTGCCGGCATCCCATATGGGCGCTGGTTCTAGTCCCAGCTGCTTCACTTCTGATCCAGTTCTCTGCTGTGGCCGGGGAGAGCAGTGGAAGATGACCCAAGTCCTTGGGCCCCTGCACCCACATGGAAGACACGGAGGAAGCTCCTGGCTCCTGGCTTCGGATCAGCGCAGCTCCAGCCGTTGCGGCCAACTGGGGAGTGAACCAGCAGATGGAGGACCTCTCTCTCTCTCTGTCTCTCTGTAACTCTGCCTTTCAAATAAATAAAATAAATCTTTGGGAAAAAAAAAAAAAACAGTGAAAACTTACTACACAGTGGGGTTTTCTGAGGGGAGAGCAGGGGACTGAGGCTTTGGGAAATGATTACATTGGAGCCCCGTGACTGAGTCCTGTGGCTACAAGAGACCACAGACACAGTAGTCCCTATGCCTTGCCTGTGATGCTCCAGCCGCCTCAGGGTGCTGATAGCAAAGCAGCCACCAGCAGACAAGGGAAGGTTCTTAGACCAGGAGCCAAAATGAGCTTCTTCCCTTTATAAAGTCAGGCTGCCTCAGGTGTTCCATTTCAGTGATGAAAAAGCTGGGCGACAGAATATTTTTCCTATTATCTTCTCAATAACTTTATTAAAAATAAGAATTTTCACAGAATATTTTAGGAGCATGACAAGAGTTCATATGAGACAAGATGACTGACACAAATTTTTCAACAGTCACGTTATAATTAACAGAGGCATTTCATAATTATTAGTTTCAGAAGGGAAGTATATTTCTACTTCTGTCAAAAGCAAACAGCTCTAATTGTTTTTTTAAAGTACAGGAAATAATAAATGAATCAGTAAGAATTCTGGGGGTTAAGACGATGTACTTAGAAAGCCACAGTATTTTAGAGGGGATAGAGAGGATATTAATATTTCTTTGTAAAACACTACAAATTGCTAGATATATAGTCCACAGCCAAAAATTCTTCATGGTTTAACAGTGACTTTTAGTATAAGAAGGCATATAAACAACAGATGCCTGAATAGAAGTACAGTGAAATGCTAAGTGCTACCGTATCTTAATCAATGTTGTAATCATGTTTACTACAGCTTTTGTCCTAGTATTTGGCGAGCTTCTCAATTATCTCATCTGAATCTAATTACTCAACTGGATCTCACTCATTTGTAACTTACTCTAGGAAAAGAAACAAAGCACGAATTATTGGCCCAGACTTGCAAATTTAGAATGAAAACTGCTTCCCTAATAGTAAAAACTGTCACAAACATTTCAGCCACACTTGTAACCATGCCACTGCTTTTACTATCGTATCACGTCATAAACATATATACACAGTTCCATAGATCTTTGCCACCTACGAGTTTTCACATTTCTGTGGGAATGCAGTGTGTATACTATCAGTTCACCACACACAGTAGCAATACTATGTGCAGATTTCATGATCCAAGGGCCAGGTCTGAAGCAACAAGCACTGCAGAAGATCCCTTCTCTTTTGAAAATACTTTAATCCCTATATTCTATGGGAATGTTTCACAGAAATGCCTATAACAAAGAACAGTTTTAAATTTTAAAGCAGTAAGAGTTAATTTTAGTAATTATATTTAAAGCAGTAAAATTTTGTAAAATTGTTTAAAGCAGAAAGAGTAATTTTAGTGAACAGAAGCTCAGTCAGCACTAAATGAGAATGAGGGGGATGAGAGTTGGATTGCATTTGTTTGCAGGCATGGAACTTCCCTACATAATATCAAGTCTTATGGAATAATTTTGCTATACATGTATTTCATTTTCAATTCTTAGTTTTAACATTAATTGAAATGCAAGGTAACAATTTCATAAAAAATACTTACTATTTGTATTGTCTCCCCCATTGTTAGAATCAACTAAATCACCTGAACGCATAGCAGACATAATCTTCTGAGCAATACTGGAGAGTGGTGTCTTACAGAGATCAAAGCCTACAAATGCCTCATAATTTTCCATTTTCATAAAATCCTAAATGCAAGATTAACAGAAGATAAATATTCACATATTCTAACACTTTAAAGTAAGAAACACAATTATTTGCAAAACTCAGGTACCAAGACTATCATTTGCTAACTCTGTATTAATAGCTATGGGAGGAAATAGGTATCATTCATGCCATAATACAGAAAGGATAGTAAGAAGAAAGTAAAATAGAGGCTCAATCAGGTTATCACAGTAAAGAACAAGAACTTAATTTCTAGTAAACCAATATCAAAGCAAGCAATCTATCCAAATACTTCCTGAAGTTCAAAAAATGACTGTTAGTAATCTTGACGTGCAATCTAGTAACATAAAACAACTGACTTGATAATTATGGCAGACACACAACCCCCAATTCTTGCACTCCTCAGCCCGACTAGCCCAGGGGTGGAGCAGGTGAAGGCCTAGGTAAGGACAGTCCAGGTCAAGCACCTGCTCACACATCTAACAGCTGGCACTAATTTAAACAATTTGCTACCATAAGCCAGGAAATCAGGTGACATATTTTTCTACCTTACTGAAGAAAAGAAAAATTTTAATTCTCTTACACCAAGACAGAATAGGAAAAAATGAAGTCATTCAAGTTGAGAAAGGTGAGATAGCAAAATTTTAGACAAAATTTACTGCTACAAAATTTTCATCTATATTAAGGTTTACTTTATATTTACTTAACACACACTTAAAAATATGCTAATGCAATAAATGGCAAAATATTTTTACTTAAAATTACAAAAATTAACAGTGCTCTCTGTCAAACATGCACATTTCCTGATGTTTATAGCTGAAAAGTCCCAAAGGCCATCTGAAATGTGTAGTTTAGACATTAAGCTTCTCAAGTCACAAGCAGGTCGAGAATACTCTTGAAGGTATTTTCTATAAACCTCACATCGTATTTAACACGGGTCATGTTTAAATTGGGGCACTCAAGAAGCATCTGAGGTAGTAACTTATAAGCTACCTCATGTTATTTTATACCAGTTCTTAAACTATTTTTGAATTATCCAAATAGTACACTACTACCTGAGAAACTGATCAAAATATTGTGCCTCCTTTGAGTACTCAACTTGATGGAATTTTAAAGTTCAAATCTTAAATCTGATTTCAAAGTCACTTCTGATGTGTAAGTTGCACTAAAGCCAAAAGCACTGCTAGAGTCTGTTCTGCAGAAACTTGAGCCTCCAGAGCCCAGGTCCTGAAATGAATGGCCAGTGGAGCCCTGGTATTCGGGGTGCAAGCAGCAACACTCAAACCACCTAAGTCTAGAGCAGGGGACTATGGGGAAACAGGCTGAGTGGCAGAATTTAACCTTCTAGCCGAATATGAGGGACCGGGCTTTTACATATACAGAAGTCCCCTTTTATCCACGGGGGGCTATTTTCCAAGACTCCCAGAGGATGCCTGAAACCACGGATAGTACTGAATCCTATATATGATAACCAAGATTGCTACTAAGTGACCTAGGCAGGCAGCATACAATGTGGATACATTCTACAAAGGGATGATTCGACTCCTGGGTGGGATGCAGTGACCAGTTCAACACTTCGTCATGCTACTCGGCAGTACACAAGTTAAAGCTCACAAACTTTATCTCTGGAATTTTCTATTCAATATTTTTAGACTTCAGCTAACCCCAGGTAACTAAAACAAAAGGTTAAGCCATGGGTAAGGGAAACTACCGTATGAAGGTCTAGAGATTTAGAAATGCTGCCTCAACAAATTTTTAAAATACTTAACAGTAGATATTTTCCATTTCCAAAAAAAAGTAAAGGGGTTATTACCATATTAAAAAATATTTGCATTATACAATAACGCTTTTTCCCTGTAAGTAAAAGCATTCCCAGGACTAAGTACAAGCAAATATTCAAGTCATAAAAAGCATTATTACTTTGAACAAACATATTAAATAAGGAAAAAACTGATGTAATACTTGAATTCATTAAATGAAATATTCCATTGACCTTGAATTTAAAAATGTGTTTATTAAATATATTCTCCTCTTAATATATAAAACATTTAAAAAGACAGTATGTGTAATAGATTCAGTTTTAACTAATTTTCAATCTCCAAGAGCAACAGCCTTAATCTTTGATTGATTTTCTAAATTCTCCACGATATCTTTCAGATAATCTTCATCTTTTAAAAAATGTACATATAATTCTCTTTCCATTTGGTGCAATTTATTAGTTGCCAAAATTTTTCTTTTTGTCTTCACATCAGCAAGAATATCAGTAAGGAGATGATTTAGCTTATTGAGCTGAGATTCAACATGATGAAACTGTTCCATTAATTTCTAAAAGAAGAAAATAAAAATGCTTTCAATTCAACAGTTTTATCCCTATCCTAATTAAAAATTTTACATGACTCTTAATTTATTTTCACAATTTTAGCAATAAATAATCCTCAATTAAAAATCTAAACAGGTATAATGTAAATTCTATGTAAGATTAATTGTAACATTAATTAAGTGGTTTGAAGAATACTTGTAAACTGCTATATCTATATATTCAACAAATACTACTGAGTACATACCATGTGCTAAGCATTTTTCAGTTTTTTTTTCCACCTTCTTCTTAAGGCTGACTTATTTATTTGAAAGATATATAGTGGGAGCTGGCTCTGTGGTATAGCAGGTAAAACCACTGCCTGCAGTGCCAGCCTCCCACATGGGCACCCGTTCAAGTCCCAGCTGCTCCACTTCCAATCCAACTCTGCCATGCCCTAGGAAAGCAGTAGAAGATGATCCGAGTCCTTAGGCCCCTGCACCCCTGTGGGAGACCTGGGAGCAGCTCCTAACTCTTGGCTTTGGATCAGCCTGGCTCTGGCCATTGTGGCCATTTGGGGAGTTAACCAGCGAATGGACGACCTCTCTCTCTCTCTCTGCTTCTGCCTCTCTAACTCTGCCTTTCAAATAAATAAATCTTTAAAAAAAAAAAAAAAAAAGGCAGAGAGAGAGAGATCTATCCCATGATTCACTCCCCAAATGCCTGCATAGCCCAGGCTAGGACAGGCCAAAATCAGGAGCCAGGAATTCCATCTAGGTCTCCCAGATGGGAGGCAAGGACCAAGTACTTGAGCCCATCTGCTGCCTTCTAAGTGCGTCAGCAGGAAGATGGATTAGAAGCAGAACAGTCATGACGCAAAGCAGGTGCTCCAAATACGATGTGGGTGTCTCCATCAGCAGCTTAATATACCTTGCCACATGCCTGTCCCTTAAATTACATTTCTTTAAAAAAATCAAATAATTTTGACATTATACATTTACTGGTCTCCTTCAAGAAAAACTGACTACACTGGATACACTGAGAAAACAACTCACCTTTAATTTCAATTAAATATTAAAGAGTTTACAATTGCTAAAATAATCCTACAAATACCAAAATATATTTTACTTCATTAATAAAAATATAAGTTAAAAATTTATAAGGCATTTTATACGAGAGGGGGAGGGGGAGGGGGAGTGACAGGGTGAGGGTAGCATAGGATGGGGAGGGCGGAGGGCGGAGGGGGGGAGGGGAGGGGGTAATCAAGATGCATCTTACAATTGAAAGCACTGTGTGACTGTTTCTGGCTAGCTCCCCACAGCATCCATATGGGATGCCAGCGCTGCAGGCTGGGGCTATAACCTGCTGCGCTACAGTGCTGCCCCCCACCCCCACCATTTTAACTGGCTATGTTCAAGAGGGATAAGATAATCATCTATGTCTACCTGTATCTAAAAGATCTTTTCTAGTAGGTATAAAAAGTATTAAGTAAGCATATTCAGAGTTTTTTCTTATTAGCAACTCATAATTCACATGATGTCTAATAAACACTTAACTAGTGCTGGTGGCTATAAATACATACAACTCCTCTAGAAAGCAATGTGGCAGGGCCAGCACTGTGCGAAAGCAGGTAAAGCTGCTCCCTGTGAAGCAGCATCCCACATGGGCACCTGCAGGAGTCCCTGCTGCTCCACTGCGGACCCAGCTCCCTGCTAATGCACCTGGGAAAGCAGCAGAGGGTGGCCCAAATGCTTGGGCCCCTGCACCCATGTGGGAGACCTGGAAGCTCCTGGCTTTGGTCCAGCCTAGGTCCTTGAGGCCATCTGGAGAGTGAACCAGTGGGTGGAAGACATCTCTGTCTCATTTTCTAACTCTACCTTTCAAATAAATAAATCTTTAAAAATTAAAATGAAGAAATAAGGCAATAAACGGCAAAAAAAAGTGTATACCCAAAAAACCCCAATGACTCTACTTCTAAGAATTTATCCAAATCAAAGTACCAACAACAAAAATGTATATAAACAAAGATATACAAGGATACTTTCAAAAGTTCATAGAAAATGGAAAAGATGTTTATTTTAATGCAAAAAAAGAAAAAAAAATTCCCAGGGTCAGCACTATAGCACAGTGCCGGCATCCCATGTGGGCACTAGTTCAAGTCCCAGCTGTTCCACTTCCGACCCAGCTCCCTGCTAATGTGCCTGGGAAAGCAATGGAGAATGGCCCAAGTGCTTGGGCCCTGTACCCAGAAGAAGCTCCTGGCTCCTGGCTTTGGATGGGCTCAGCACCAACCATTGTAGTCACTTGGGGAGTGAACCAGTGTATAAAAGAACTCTCTCCATCTCTACCTCTCTCTGTAACTCTTTCAAATAAATAAAATAAATTTATAAAAAAAAAAACAAAAACAAAAACACACACACACCTGAAATCCATCCATACACAATGTTGCTAAAGAACAAAAGAAAAAAAATAAGAATCATAATGTCCATTGGAATGGTTACAGAAATTATGGCACAGTTAAAGTACCATAAACTTAAATTTAAGAAAAGTAGAATAAAATTGTTTATTTCATAATGCTAGTTGAGAAGAATAAAGAAAATATGTAAGTAAATGAAAAACTGTATGTCTCACAATTACTAACAAAAAGAAAGATGGCACAAGAATATTAATATCAGACAAGAGTACCAAAATAAAAAGCATTATAGGCATAGAGATCATCATGTTAAAACTAAATGCATATATGTAACTTGCAAAATAGATCAAAAATAAAGAAAAAATTGATAGGATTAAATGGAAACATTTTCAAATCCATCATCATATTCAAAATTCTTAAATATTTCTCTAATGAACCAAAAATGTAAGATCAGTGGCCGGTGTTGTGTTATGGCTGCTAGTAGCTAAAACCGCTGCCTATAATGCCAGCATCCCATATGGGCACCGGTTCATGTCCCAACTGCTTCATTTTTAATCCAATTCCCTGCTAATGACCTGGGAAAAGCAGCAGAAGATAGCCCAAGTGCTTGGGCCCCTGGCACCCATGTAGGAAACCCAAATGAGGCTCATGACTCCTGGCTTCGGCCTGGTCCAGTCCTGGCCATTGCAGCCATCTGGAGTGAGCCAGTGGATGGAAGATGTTTCTCTCTCTCCCTCTAATTCTTTCAAAATAAATCTTAAAAAAGAAAAGTAAGGCCAGCGCCGCGGCTCACTAGGCTAATCCTCCACCTTGCGGCGCCAGCACACTAGGTTCTAGTCCTGGTCGGGGCACCGGATTCTGTCCCGGTTGCCCCTCTTCCAGGCCAGCTCTCTGCTGTGGCCAGGGAGTGCAGTGGAGGATGGCCCAAGTGCTTGGGCCCTGCACCCCATGGGAGACCAGGATAAGTACCTGGCTCCTGCCTTCAGATCAGCGCGGTGCGCCGGCTGCGGCGGCCGTTGGAGGGTGAACCAACGGCAAAAGGAAGACTTTTCTCTCTCTCTCTCTCATTGTCCACTCTGCCTGTCAAAAAAAAAAAAAATTAATAAAAATAAAAATAAAAAAAAGAAAAAGAAAAGTAAGGTCAGTAATGGTAGATCTTTCAAAAAACTAAGCAGATACTAATTTACACCCATTAGACCAGCAAGTGTTGCTGAATATGTGGAGAAATTGGAACCCTCATACATTAATAATATACTGGCTGCAGAAAAAGAAGTTGCCAGCATTTCTTATCAGAGTACCAGTTCAAGTCCCAGCTCCTCTACTTCTGATCCACCTTCCTGCTAATGCACATGGGAAGGCAGCAGATGATGGCTCAGGTACTTTGAGTTCCCACTGCCCACATGGGAGATGTGGATGGACCCCTAGCTCCTGGTTTCAGCCTGGCCCAGCACAGGCTGTTATGCCCATTTAGGGAGTAAACCAGCAGTGGAAGACCTCTCTGTCTCTTCTTCTGTCACTCTGCCTTTTGAAAAAATAATCTTTAAAAATAAATAAAATAAAAGCTTCCTAAAAGTAACAGAGATGAGACTTGGAGCTACAAGTCCCTATAATAACTGAAATGGAAAGAGAGCCCAGGAGCAGCTTTACTCTGAGGCCAATTGCCAATCCCTGGTTTATTAGTCTAGCAAGATGAATGGGAGAAAAATCAGGATCCAAAGAAGGTACAAACTTTAAGAGAAGGCCATCTCAGTAATAAGCTGAGGACCCAAAGGGAATCCAATCAGACTGGCCCAGACAGAGAAGAGCCTTGCTTAGAATTACAGTCCAGATAGGAATCACCTGGGCTGTCCAAAGAGTCTAGGGCTTTGGACTAGTTTGCAGTTAAGAGCTGTCTGTGCCTGCAGTATGGAACAAAACAGACATGAAGGCAAAGACATTTAAGGAGGATTTCATAATGTTAAGAGATTCCCTTTACCAGAAAGGTAAGTATCTTAAATTAGTACACTCCAGAGGGTGGTGCTGGTACTTAGTAGGTTAGGCCTCCACCTGTGGTGCCAGCATTCCATATGGGCGTTCGAGTCCCAGCTGCCCCACTTTCAATCCACTTCCCTGCTGCTTGCCTGGGAAAGCAGTGGAAGATGG